TTCTCTCTCTCCCTCTCTCTCTCTCTCTCTCTCTCTGCTTCTGCCGTACAGCTAAAGGAAGGACGATACAAGAGGGAAGAGAAGAATAAATCGATGGTCGAGAATCCTGAAAAGAAAAACGATCGGTGAAGCGAAGGGCTAGCAATGGTGGGGGGTACATAGGGCCCGGTTTTTATCGTACACGACCGGTCGCCGATGCGCTTTTCGTAGAATCGCGATAAACGGCGCCGCCTGAAATATCTGATTTAATTGCGTCGAGATTGTAAAGGAGACAAAGATCGGCGGCACCGGTCTCGCTTAATTGCCCGATCCGCACCGTCTTCTCCGATTCCTTAGACTTCTTCGACCGTACGAGTCTTCGAATCGTGGAAAGTCCAAGACAAGATCGCAATACCGATGTGAATTTGCTAAAAGAGAAATACAATTTTAACGATACGATTATTCCTTACTCTTTTATATATATATATATATACAAAAAAAAAAAATAAAAAGAAAAATCTTAGATACACGTTTCAGAATCTCTTAGAATACCTATTAAATTTCTAATCTAATCTAATGTTCACATTTTCGATTAATGATCCTATTTATTAAAATAATTTAAATTAAATTAAATTAAACGATCATAAGGACAATGTATTTTATTATAAAAAAAAAAAAAAAAAATTTATATAACGTTGGATACTCGAATTATATTAGTTAATTTTCTTTTTGAACGATTTTCGTCGTGCTATCTAGAATTTCTTTTTTCTTTTTTTTTTTTTCTTTTAAGAAACTCGTCGAACGCAGTAAAATCGGATACGAAGCGAAAAAATAAACTGTCGCTGTGCGAGCATCTTATGCCATAAGTACGAGGAGGATACAATGTCGACTAGGATCTATAATAAACGGGCAAGATCTCTTGACGCTTAGAATCCTTGGGGAGGAATCCGAGAAGGACGTCGTTGGAGGAAGCCCGTTAAAATTTCACGAGCAGCTCTCGCGCCAGAGAGACTCGTAAAAAAAATTGAATCCATCGATCCTTCGTCCATCGTTTTCCCACTCCCCCATCCTTCTGCCACCTTTTTTACTGTCCGCGTTGCGACACTTGACGGAAACTGCAATATTCTGCAATATTTTTGCCTTGAATTGTCGTCTTGTCTAAGCGAAATGTTTCTTTTTGTTTCTTCTTTGTTTTTTCTTTTTTGTTTTTCTTTTTTTGTTTTTGTTTTTTTTTTTCTTGTTTTCCCAACAAAAGATATTCACTCCTTTTTTTTTATTATTTCCTTGTAATATTTAATAAGCGTGTATTTTCTAAAACGCATTGTTATCTTTACAAAAGTGAAATAAAAAAAAAAAAGAAAAAAAAAGAAAAAAAAAGAAAAAATCATTTCGACTCGTATATTTTCATTCGAAAGTTTTCATCGTTTTAGAAATATTAGATCTCTCGTTATAGATTAGGCAATGATATTCGTATCGTCGAAAAAGAAACGAGTCTGTTACGGTTAATGCGTTTGAACAAAGAATAGAAACGGTCAAGCCAGAAGAGGACGCCCCGGCATCATCGGCGATACCGGTCCAGGTGCGAGCTCGCCAGTCAGTCGCAGTATTTAGGACAAGGTCATAAGGTTCCGCGCTACCCAAGCCGAAGCCAAGACACCGTCAGTGCTCGCGTCCGCTGCACTTTCACTTTGACTTTACGTTGCAGCGTGCATTCGCAAATTCTAACTCGGCGGACTCCTCCGTTCCGTTTCCCCTTTTCCATTCGATCGCATGCGATTTACGCATTACATATATCTTTTGTGTCAAAGATCTTCATCTTGTAATAAGTTTTCTTTTGTTTTTTCTCTCTCTATATATAACCATTTTATAATCGTATCTATCGTTAGAAAAAATTAACAAAGCTGATACTCTCATAAGAAACGATAGAATTGTCCGAATGTCTAATCTCATGTAATATCTATTTTTCGTTTATACGTATAATGTTTTTTGATATTGTATTTGCTTATGCGAAAAGAAGATAATAATAGATAAAGAGAAAAAGAGGGCCGAGGAGGGGGGTGGAGGAGGGCAAAAAAAAAACCGAACGGTGACAGGTCGAACGTTAATGCGCGACTACCACGCAACTAAGACATAAACTCACCGTTTAAAACACCCGACGGAGATTGATTCGAGTCGTTCGATAGAGAAGGCCATTCGACGTGCATAAACCTAGAAATAATGAAGACAATATAAAAAAAAAAGAGAGAAAAAAAAAAGAGAAAAAAAAAAGGAAAAAAGAAAAGAAGAAAGAAAAGAAGTCACCGGAAAATCCTTCATATTCGTCAATCGATAAATGGACGAAGAAAAAAGTCAAGAAAAAGAAAAAGAAAAAAAAAAAAAAAGAAAATAATTTATCTCTTACTCTCAAAAGTTTTATCGGTGCGAGAACGAGACGATATTAAACGGAAGGAGCAAGGTGCATATTTTAATTACCGTTCTCGATTGGTAGGTAGACTCAACGCAAATAATGATCACGGCACGTTGCCATGAGAAATGCCTTCTTGAGAAGGAGCGAACGTTCGAGCCTACTCTACTCTACGATGGTGACGCGAGTCGGCAATTGTCAAAGGTCAAAGATGTCGAAGTCGAGCGGAGTTGGTTTAACGACTAACGGCGAACGAATCGAGACTATCAACGTTTCAAAGAGTTTACTATTCGAATCGATTTTCGAGGTCGATTTGATACTCGACAAAAGTATCTTGTTGAGATCGATAATTAACATATTAGAAACATTAGAAATAAAGTCTATAACCGATCATTAATCGCTTGAGCGTATATGTTAAAAAAGAAAAGAAATCAAAATAAGGAAAAAAAAAACACAAAAAAAAAGAAAAAAAAAGAAAAAAAAAAAGAAAAAAGAAGGAAGAAGAAGAAGAGGAAGAGAGGAAACTAAAGATAATCAAAGTGTAAATGACAAATCGAAAAATGTTGAAAGATCGGAGAACAATGATTCGTGCGTATCATCGAGACAATTCCCTCCCCCATTTCTCTCTTGATTATTACCGAAGAAGAAGGGAGTAGAGTAGATGTACGTGCAATACGAAGGAGAACGCATCGTGATTCGGATCGATGACTCGAAGAGGTCCCTCAAGGCGATGTAAAAATTCCGTAGGACTTTCGATCGAGGACAAGGGATAGAAAGAGAAAGAAGAGCGAAGGGTAAAGAGAGAATGAGGGGGAGTGAGACGGGTAAGGGAGGGAGGGAGGTACTCGCTCTGCTGGCCAGTCGCGGCCGACACAATGGGCATTGAAAACAGAAAATAAGCGCCATTGTTTGGCGCTTTTCAGAATCGATATTTGCGAATAACACGAACGTCGACGCGTGTCGCGAGTGCGCGGCTCCGTGATTTAAAGCGTAGATTAAAAATAAAGGGGACACGCGTCGGCCCTATCCTCCTCCTTCTCCTCGTTCTCTTTCTCATTCTACCAACCTCCTTCGTCTCCACCTTCGGTTAGCCTTGTCTCACCTTCCATTGTGTCTCGCTCATGCTCTTCAAAAAACTAAGTGACAAACGATACGCTCGACATTTTCCGATCGTCGAACTGACGTTTAATGTAAATAGCTTCAAGTTCTTTCTAACTTAAGAGACAGACGCAAGGTCGTTTTATATCTTCTAAGAATTAACATGATTATATAGAACGAATTCAAATACTTCGTCGTGAGAACTATGTTGAATATTTAAATACTCTTTTGTGCGAAATTAGTTGAAAATTACTTATTATCCTCTCAGATGATAATAATAATAAATCTTAAACAATCATTCACAAGAAATATTTTTTAAATGAATAATTATACATATAAAACCCTTTAATTATACATTTATACGTAATATTCTAATGGTGTCTATTATTTAAATATACTCTATCATTTCAATTGCAATAATGTTCTATTCTAATTGAATTCATTAATTCACCTATAGATATTGAGTAAACAAGTAAAGTACCGTTAGAATTTACGAAAGTCGGCGAAGCTCTAGAAGAAGAAAGAAAGAAGGAAAGAAAAAAAAAAGAAACAAATTCTCAACTAGAATCCAATCAAGAATCTTTCAGCGATCGATCCTTCCGCTGAAAATCGATTACAGACAATTTCCGTAACGGGACGATCGAAGACGTAAAATGTGGAATCCGATTCCATGAACGTGGCCTAAGGCTTAAAGAGAGAGAGAAAGAGAGAGAGAGAGGAGAGGGAGAGAAAGAGAGAAAGAGATACATAGAGAGATATAGAGAGAGAGAGAGAGAGAGAGAGAGAAAGAGGGTGCTCGCGACGTATTAGAAATTGTCCCGCTGCGGATTTATTACGCGGATGCCGGAGAATCACGCGGCCGATGCGAGTAATAACGTTGGATCGTCGTTCTCTAATGTGAGTTGGAACCGGGCGGCCTCCAAGTGCCTCAAATCGTTCTCTCTCTCTTTCCCTCTATCTCACTCTTTCTATCTCTCTCTCTCTCTCTCTCTCTCTCTCTCTCTCTCTCTCGGTCTATCTATCTATCTATCTCTCTATCATCGTTTAGACGATCTAACCAAAGAGCGCCATCTTGCTTAGATATATCGTCGTCAGCCGAATGCCAGCACCGCCATCGCTCTGAAGCGACAAAGGAGCCTTCTAACTCTCGCTCTCGTACCTCCTCTTCCTCCTTCTCCTCTTCCTTCTGTCAGATAGATAGATAGATAGAGAGAAAGAGAGAGAGAGAGAGACAGAGAGAGACAGAGAGAGGAGAGAAAGAGAGAGAGAGAGAAGGAAAGGAGGAGAGGGAGAGACGACGACGACCACTTCAAGGACGACGATCGTGCCGATCGATCAAGCTCGCGAGGTCACCTCGATCCTTGAAGAATACGATCTAGCGAAGAATTTCAGGAACACATCCTTTTTCATTTCTTTTGATCTATCGAAATTCAAAATCTCTCCCTTTTCTCGATCGATCTCTTAAACGATCTTTTAAGGTGTATAGAAATGTTTCTCGATCGAATCGATCCATTCCATTGAACACAAGAATTCGATTCGGTCGTCCCTTTGCGGTTGTACGCTTAACGAGCCATAAAGGAACGATAAGAAAAGGAGTTAATTAAGAATACTTGTACTTGAATATAAGTACGTATTACATACGGCAAAGTAAGATTAGAATAATCTATCTTATCAACAATGAAAGTATGTTATATGCAAATTTACAAAAAGAGGAATATTTGTTTTCGTCTTTGCAAATTTTTCTACTTCTCTCTTTTTTCTTTTTTTTTTTTTCTTTTTTTTTTCTTTTTCATATCAACAAGTAATTAATTAATTCTTTTCATGTACATAATTATATAAGTTAGATCAATAAATAAACGTGTTTTCGATTCATAATCATGTGTATTGTTTTTTCTGGATTTTGATAATGATTCGAAATTTTATCGGCTATTTTCTAACTCTTGTAAATTATGCGTGCATTATTAGCATGTAATTAGTTTCATTACCGAACGGAGAAAAACAAATGACGTGTTAAAACATAGAAGAGATAATTTTTTTTTCTTTTTCTTTTTTTCTTTTTTAATATAAGCGTAAAAATCTATCTTCGATGATTCTTTATCGTTCGATCGATCTCTTTCGATTCAATATCTCTGATTATTTTCGATCGAGTATACTATAATAACTTAAGTATATCTATAGATGATGTCGTTTGATCTCTAACAATAATGATCGAAGAAAATGCAATTTTCTGCTTGAAGAACGTAGTTTTCCGGAGAATGTATTCGATAGATCCTGTTCCTCCAGTTTTTCTTTTCCAATCGATCGAATGGCCACGACGATACTGACAAAAACACGTCATAAACAGCGACTTGCCGTAATTGCTCTGTGTCACGACTTTACTTCGTCTTTCGATCCACCCGAACGATTAGACTTTTCGAGAGGGAAAAAAGTTCATCCTCTTTCAGACTATCTAGGAAATTGTAATCAGAAGAAAAATCGATTAGAATAATATATTACTTCTTTTGTTTGAACAATAGTCAAGTAAAATTCGAACGATTATTCGACAAAAATTAATTGAATACAATGTAAATAATAACTTGAAGAAATATTAGGAGAAAGGAAAATTCATATTATGCTTAGGTGAAATTTTTGAAAAAATTTAATACTATTACATCATAAATACAAAAGTAGATACGAAAGTGTTTAATGAATATATTTAGAGACATTTGAAATGTAGTAATTTTTTTTTTTTTTTTTTTTGACAATTTTCTATAAACTATAGAGAAATCGTTCGAATTCTATGATTTAGGAGAGATCGCAAGATGGCTAACGTTAGCCATGCATGTAAGTAAGTAAGTAAGTAAGTAAGTAAGTAAGTACTTATGTGTACGTCAAGAACGGTTCGTGCCACTGACTGGTCGGTCCGTTTCTAGGACAGCCAGTTTTTCAAGCGATTTTCGCGCGACACTCGGGACTAGCCTAAGCAATACTAGGGACCGATCTAACCTTCTTTCGTACGAGCTTATGTTGGATGAAATAACGATCTTGATACCTGTCGATACTACGTTCGAAAGACGTTCGAGTAATCTATCGTAGTTACATAGATAAAAAAACTATGTATCTACTGGTTCCCCTTCAAAAAGCTCGATTATGCTACGACGCGTTGAGCGTTTACGTAAGTCAAGGTTTTTCGTTCGAAGAATGACGAACCACGGAAAAATCTTCGCCACGATCGATTCGATCCGATCTCTTCTTTCAAGATACGTAGACATGTTAGATTCATTGACAAGTAGAAAGATAATGATGATCCAATGATCCTATTTTCTTATCTCAATAATTTTTTCATTTTTGTCTATTCTTTCGTATGATCCTATGAATAGAAGATTTGGTATAATTTATATTTTAGGTATTTTCTTTTTTTCTTTTTTTCTTTTTTTCTTTTTTTCTTTCTTTCTAATTTTTCTCTTTTCCTTTTTTAATTTTATTGCCGTTGTCGTACGAATCTCCCAAAGGAGACTTTAGTATGTTACGTAATGGAGAACGGCGCGTAACAAAAATATTCGTTTGCGCAAGAAAAATGTAGTAGCTTATATTAACGATTCATGGTCTCGATCACCTTGCGTACGATCTAGCACGATCGAGTTTGAACGTGCACTACCATCGAGCCGATATACCTATAATTTATGCTAACAGGGTGGGGAATATGCAGTAAGGACGAGGGACGCAGAAATGTAAGAAAAGTTTGTCGGTTGTTATAGAAAAAAAAAAAAAAAAAAAAAAAGAAAAAAAAAGTATGACTTTGTAATACTGGAACCTCTACGTTCACGCAAAGTAGGAAAGGCAAGGTATTTAGACCGACCATTTGATAAATCCATAAGATTTAATGATTAATAAAGCTTTGATTTTCTTTTGCAATAATATAATATATTATTTATTAAAGTAGAATTTATTTTTTTAAAAGGGAAAAAATTCTTGAAAAGAGAAAAGAGATTTCGTTCGATGGAAGGAGCAACGAAAAGAAAGAGAAAACGCGAGGCAAAGCGACGATGCATTTCGGTGCGTGTAACGCGCTTTGCGCGAATGCATCCGACGTTTATGTCTCTCTCTCTCTCTCTCTCTCTCTCTCTCTCTCTGTCTTCCTACTTGCACGGGTGCACGCAAGAGCGTCGGTGTACCGAGTGCACGAGTATGTGGCACAAGGCCGACATTAGCATCTCTACCGGTACAGCTCCTACCGTTTCGCCTATTCGACGTCGTCGTCGTCGTCGACGTCGTCGTCGTCGTTGTCGTCGGCGTCGTCGTTGTCGTCGGCGTCGTCGTTGTCGTCGTTGTCGCTGTTACCGTCGCCGTCGTCGTCACGACACGGCTCTATCCACGAGAACCTGTATTCCTCGTGGTTATCTCCCTTTCGCTAAAAGAGCGAAAGGATTTGAGTCGTCCTTTGAAATTATTTCATAATATCATCTCTCATTCTATTTAATCGTATATTAAAATTAATATCATAAATATCAATATAATAATCCCTATCGAAATTATACGATCGATAAAAATATTTTTATCAAATCAAATCGATAACTATTCGTATTCTCTGAGATTGCTCCCAAGAGGAACGGATTTCATACTTATGACGTTATAAGTAATGGGGCATTCATGTGACACGTTAACCCGTGCAACCGGTATACATAACTCAAGTAAAATCTTCGAGTAACTTAGATTAGCCGGTACATGCGAATTGGTGAGATTCTAGCACGCGTTTCACCCTCGGTAGAAGAAAGACTAAAGTCGACTGGATAGATTAAAACAGTTAGAGAAAGATAGAGATACTATTTCATACTTGGTTCGTTATAAACTAATCGATTGCACACTCGTCCTCGATACAACGAGACTTTGATCTTTTCTCTCTCTCTCTCTCTCTCTCTCTCTCTCTCTCTCTCTCGAATTAAAGTCGAGCAATGAAGTAGGAGAAGTAAAAAAAATTTCATTAATAATCTTTACATAGGATAATTATTATACACATATACATATATAAATATGTATAATGTATGTATGTACAATATGCGTATAAAATTGCAATGGGGTTAAAAACTTTTCTCTGAATATTTGTTTCTTATCAAAAAAAAAAATAAAAAAAAGAAAAAAAAAAGAAAAAAAACAAAAAATATAACAAAAAAAAAAAGAAAA